TTAACTTTTTTTTTTTTTTTGGTTAATTGTGTGGATATGAGGTTTTATGGTATGAATTTGTGATTCATCGATTGACGGGTTTGAAAATATTGTTCTTAACTCTTAAAACCACAATTTGAGAGTTGAGAAAGAGAACATCATGAGGGTGTTGACCTTTCACTTAATGCATCTTCCGTTGTAATTTGATATAATTTTTGTGTAATGAGACATATGTCAAAAGGAAGTTGAGCAACTTTTGCACTCGCAATTGTTGTTAACACCCCTCTTTATATGTTGAACTTGGAAACCTTTAAGCATTTGTGTTGCTATTTTACTATATTTCAACTCAAACTGGCTCTGTTCAAATTGTGTAAAAAAATTTATGATTCTCTGAATGGATACTTTATCAATGATACATGTATCTTTGGCACTGAGGCTTTTATTGTCAAAAGTATTTTAAAAGGGAAGTGTTTATTAATGATCAAAGAACCTGTTACATTTGACAATGTGTGGACAGTTTATAAATGATCGAATTTACGGAACTCAAGTTATGAGCCTGACCCATTTATATGACTGGTGAATATTTTCTTTTGATATGTCATGAAATTTTATTTCTGTTTGTTATGTGAACCACTGCCTGGGTTGATTAGATTTTATCACAATATAGGAGAATAAAGCTGTAACCTAATGGAAATGCAGAAGGGAAACGCAATAGTTTTTCAAATGGAAGGCACATTGAAGTTAAACGTGAGATCAAGAATCCCTACCATTCAACTTCTTCAATCAGAGTTCATGACAGTATGTTTTTACCAAAAGTTCTTTGATCGTTGGGTAAAAAACAAAACAAAACAAAACAAAACAAAATAAAATAAAATAAAATAATCATCCATAAACTCATTCTGGGCTGCACGTCAAATAGTTTAGGGCTTAGAGCTTTTCTTTATGGTTTCTATTTTTCCTTTCTGCAGACGAACAGCTATTTGTTCCAAATGAGGGCTAGGGTGCTAGAAAGTTTATTGTCATTGATAACTCAAGGATCCAAAACAGGGTTTCTTTGTGGATGACACTTGCATCATTGAAGCCGAAGTTAATGTGATTAGATTGCTTAGAACAGAGTGATGAATCTGTTCCAAAATTCTCAAAATGCTTAGCTACAAGGATTGGTTTGTTTTTTAATTCCCTTTTTATCTTGGTTTGGCCATTATGCATTTATGCTGCTACTTGTTATACTTCAATTCAAATTGGTTTTGTTCAAATTGTTACATTATGGTACATGATTACATGAAAAATTACATGTAATATAGTTTATTGCATCATTAAGTAATGATGCGAATTCAACTCAAGTCAATGCTTGCACCATCACTTTGCTCAATGGTTCACATGGGGTGGTCCTGAACTAAGAATAAGAATAGGTTATACTCAAGAACATATAGAATATCTAAAAAGACTCTAGTTTGAACATTCTTAGAGTATATAGACCTTTAGTAGTTTGAGGATGGTTGGAGCATCAACCGCGACTGCTACCTTCATTGTAGCTGAACTATAGTATGATTTTTTGTAAACATAAAAGGTGAATGCGCAGAGGACATCAATAGGTTGTTAACATTACATCTTTGATGTGTAAGCAAGTGATTTGAACTTGAGGGGAATATTAATTGAGTGTTGCTTAGTGATTTTATGTTGTATAATGCAAAAAATGTCATCGGAACCTTTACTTATTCAAATTTGAAGACCCGTCATGATTCTTAATTAGAGTAATATAAATAGATAATTTTCGAGCATAGTATGGTCACACAAAACACATGCCTTTTAAATTTAAAATGAATCATCTTAAATATGCCCTTTATCGATTAACCAACAAATATGATCATGGCACCGAAAAATATACGTCTATTGATAATTTGTAAATAAAGTGTATCAAAATAATATAAATTTTACATGGGTTTATAGATCAGACTTTTGAGATTATGTTCATGGACTGGCCCATTTGCACTCCAAAGTAGAAGCCCATTTCGTGGTGTACAAAGATGGTATTTTATTCCTTGCATTGCAAGAAGAGGAACGCTTATTTAGATTTTGTACCTCCTCAAATTCGCAGTTTTCTTCTCAACCGCAATAGAAGACGAGGAGTCCGCTGAAGTCGTCATCGTGAAAGGTATGTGTAGATTTAAGTCACTTGGGCTGATTAAATAGATCACGTTGTACAGACTTCTTAGGTTGAAATCCCCGTTTATACAATTTCGTCAGGATTTTATTTAAAGCTTAAAGTTTTAATTTTTTTTTTTTTTTTTTAATATTTCTATACGTGTTATATAGATTAAAGGATTTTAGTCAAAGTATTTGTATGCAAGACTGATGACATAGGAAGATTTTTTTGAGTTTCTCCATGGATTTAGATGCAACTACTAACTACCAGAATGCAGTTAAATATAATAACAGTAGTGTTGTGCTGTATATCCATAGTTGGGATTTATATTGAGATCCTGATTACGTATCAATACCTCTTTAATTAGGATAAGTCGTCATGATTTTACCATGACTTTAGAATTGATGTGGTGTCTCATATCTACATCGGTTGGGATCCAAAGTCGGGTGAAAAAAACTTATATAACGAAATGTCTTACCACTTCACTTTGTGGATGATCCTAGTGGCTGTGTTGCCGCATAGATGCTAAATTCTTTTTCATTCTGTTTGCTAACATCATCAATAACTCTATTATTCATTGATCATCGTCATGATGGGTGGTTTCGAGAAACTAATAATACATGTCCTTATTTAATTGGATGGTCTCATCACATTGCAAGGTGGTAGACATGCTTTATGTAAGTGTTTCTCAAGTTGGGATTCCAACTTTATAAGTATAGCATTACTTAAAGAGAAAAGATACAAAAATTACGATAGATTTTTGCGTATCAGAAGATAAAGAAAGGGTCATACTTTTATAATGCTAACAAAATTAGGGTTAATATGTTATTTTAGTGTAAAAACAAAAGTGAAAACAATAGATGATCTATTTGGAATTTCCTCAGCTTTCAGTACCATAAAAAAATCATCTTTCATTCTTCATGCTAGTGCTTCGTAGCTGTATGGTGTTCGTTAATGGCCTTATTGATGTTATGAGCTGAAAATATTTCATTTAAGTTTTCACTAATTTCATAAGTTGAAAACATACTCCTCTAAGGCAATTTCTGGAGTTTATTATAAAAGCATATGTAGGAGGTGTAAAAATATAATTACTTTGTTTATTGTGCCCCTTATTTGATCTTCTTTCAGGAAGGGGGCTTTGCCTAGTCATTACTTGTTCAAATCAAGTCCTTCTCGTTATTAAAAGCTTCAATTGAGATATACAAAACGAGCCAATTTGAAGCAGGGGGTTTCAAATGGTAATTTATTTTTACCATAGCTTCTGTATCAAAGATGTGACATTATTTACATTTTCTCATTTATGATTATCTTGTAAAACATGTGAACTGTACACATTATTTTCGATCTACCTTGCATAATATGACCCTAAAATAGATAGTAAGCAACCTGTTGTTTATGACCATTTGTCAAGTTTCAGGATATCCGGCCATTTTAGTGTAGAATTATAATACAATCTTCGTTTCTTTCACTGTACAATTGGGATCTGGTTTTACAGGACACTGCGATATCTACCCAAATGGTGAATTTAGCAAAACTGGGGAAATCATATCTCGGTTTACCTGGAATTGATGGAGACAAGTTCTCTCCCTGCAGGATGGGAAGTCAAAGTGATTTTCAATTTTAATCTACAATCAGCTTGAGGACAAGGATGATAGTTTTCAAGGTAATGTCCTTGACAATAAAAATTATAATAGTGCCATGTCTACGCTTATATACTGAAAATTCTTGGTGACCCTAACTGTATTTAGAGATTGTAAGATTGCGACATCTGGCATCTTACAATGCTAGCTGCTTGGAGATTATAAGAGTGTGGTTTGACAGGTTTGGAATTTTTAACAAAATCTTGCTTTCTAGTCTTATTGACTCTCCTAATGGTATGTTTCTAAGGAGAGACCTTTTAGAGTGATTCCGAAATTAAAAGTCAAGTGAGGATCTTAACTGTTGCTTTTAAAAAAAAAAAAAAAAAAAAAAAAAAAAAAAAAAAAAAAACAAACACTACACACACTAATTAAACGTTTCAAAGAAGAGGACTGAAATATGAATTGATTCATTTTTGCAAAAAGGACTAAGAGATATTAACACTCTTTTTGTGTTTCGTCATTTTAGCTGTTTGCAAACAATTTTAAGGAGTTTAAACTTCCTAGGCATTACCTTTTAGTTGTCATTTGGCTTTAATAGGAAGACATGCAACTATGGAAGGCAGAAGGAGTGGTGGTTTTAATAGTCTGTGCTTTAATCATGGAAGTTTTTTTTGGATTGTGGTTGGATAGGAATAGGAGAATTAGAAGATATTTGTGGAAAAGAGGGTTTTCTCTTGGTGGGATAAAATAAAGTTTTGGATATCTCTAGGCGTTATGTCCTCAAAAGTTTAAGGAAGTCTTTTTATTCATTGAAATTGGGAAGTTTCTATGGCTTCATCGGGGAAGGATTAGGGTCTTTCTTTTGTGTAAGCTTGATGGTCGTTTCTTTTTTTTCTTTTTTTTTTTGGTATAGTTCTTGGAACCCTTTCAAGGTTGAGAAAATGCGGGGCAAACTGGCTGAAATCATCTTCCTCATTTGCTATGCAATCAAAGTTATATATTATAGTGTTATATTGATTTAAAAGGGTCAACAATGTGGCAGTACTGTTGATAAAATTTACAACTTGTTATGTTCATAATTATAGCTACATTATGTTTGTGATGTAGATGGTAGGGTAGGGCGATACCAGCATGAAGACCAAATGGGGTATCACCAATGCATAGACCTGAAATCATTTCATGACCCTCTGAAGGGATACCTTATGATGATACTTGTGTTTTGGTGCCGAGGTTTTTGTTGTCAAATGTGTTTCAAAAGGGGAGTGCTTATCAATGATAAAAAAACCTGCACATGTTACCATCTTTGGAAAATCAATAAATTTTCAAATTTACTCAAGGAAAGTATGAGTCCATACCATTTGGAGACTGCAACTGGTACTATACATTTTGATATAGAATGGCTTTTCTTCTCTTTGCCATATGAACCACTTCCTGAGTTTGATTAATTTTTAATTATAATGCAGGAAAATTTTGTTCTACCCTAATGGAATTGCAGAAGTTGAGGGCAAAAACATTTCAATTTTTATATCTCTGCCCCAGTCATTATCCCTGATGGCACAACTAAATTGTTTGTGAAATTCATTCTGCGTGTCAAAAATCAAATTGGAGGAAGGCACATTGAATTTACATGGGAGATTAAGAATTCTTACCATACAACTCTTCAATTAGAGTTCTTGACACTATAATTTTAGCAAAAAGTTATTTATTGTTAAGAAAAAAAATGAAATTTGCTTAATCATGCTTTTAACTCTTTTGGTTGCAAGTCAAGAGTTTAGATTAGTGTTTCCAGTTTTCGATATTGTAAGTCTTTTGGTGAAGAGAGAAATTGTGTCAAAGTATACTAAAGATTGTACAGAAGTGGCGTAGATTGTACATTGAAGTGGCGTATAGGAATCTTTTGAATGCAATATAAAGATATTTATTTTGAATGCGGACGTTTGAAATTTTCAAAATGCGGACAAAAAGTGAGCACCTAGACACTCACTTCACAAACCCATAATCAAAAGTAAGCAACTAGGCGCTCAATTCTAGTTCGCTGTTGAAAGTTTCAGGCAGGGAGGATTTTCAATGTAATATTGCATTAGTGCCTTAATCTCTTGCCTTGGTTCTTATGGTTTGAAGGATCATAAAGTCACTTATCTGCTTTTTTTTTTTTTTTATATATCTTCGTGCAGGTAAAAAGTTGTTCGCTGCTCAACCTAAGTTGGGTTGTAGCCAGTTTCGTTGCCTGAACTCAAGGATCCAAAACAGGGTTTTTGTGGTGACACTTGCATCATTGAAGCAGAAGTTACTGTGGGATTGATTGGAGCAGAGTGATGAAATCTGTTGCTAAATTTCAGAATACTTTAGCTAGAATGATTTGGTTTATGTTTACGTTTTTTTCCCGGTTTATATATGCTTGCTATTTGTTGTGTACTTCAGTTAAAACTGGTGCTCAATTCGGGCCATTTTGTTTTCCCTTTAATAGTTACTATTGTAGTAGTTAAAGAGATAATATTTTTTGATGAAATATAAATTTTTGAAAGACTATGAGGAAAACTTATTAAAGATTTTGTCACGTTTAGGCGAGATGTGAGGCACATTGAAGGTATTTATATGTTGAGCCTCTCAACTGACGTAACTGCTTATGTGGTAACGTCAGTTTGATTATAGGATGATGAGATAATTGAGACAAGCGTGATCATTTTTAAAGTTGACCCTTTCTAAGAAAAAGCACGGCCTTTACACTGCAACAGGAAGCATGAACATTAATCACCAAAACAGCAACACCACCAAGAAAAGAAGAAGAACAAAATCAAACTGAAAATTTGGTATTTATGAGTTCAATTGTATATTCTACATTTGCTGACTTATATATGGAGGAGCGCTGTATTGCAAACTATGGAGATTTTCTCCGAATCAAGGACCAGACCAACAAAACAATGAAGCTTGTAGTCATAAGACAAATTCTTCAAATGAACATTGTGCTCCGGTGAAAGGCATTGTAAGCAAATCCCAAATATGAATGGTCTATATATTTCAGTGAAGCACACAAAAACTGTTATGATGTTGTGGTTATGATTAAAAGAAAAGACCATGAATGATGCTAAGGATTTCGTTCCATGGAATTACGCTAGGAAATTCATGCCATGAAACTCAACAAAATATTCAAGCAAATAGGAAAATAAATAAAAATAAAATACCCTCTCTATGTCCCCTTGCCTACAAAAATAGCACCACTTGTTCAACAAACATCACAGAGTTGCACATACTTCAGCCCGATATTCTTATCTCAAACCCTAAAGTGTCTTTCACCACCTCATATGTCACACAAATGCAATGGCTATCGATGGAACAACCTGAACAAGAAAATATGGCACCACAAGATTGACTTGGCAAGGGATGCAAAGAATGAAATACTATAGCCTTTCCCTTCTGCAATTCCTTTAGGGTAGAGCTTTATTCTCCTGTATTATAATTAAAACCTAATCAACTCAGGCAATGGTTTATATAACAAACACAAATAAAATTCCACTGCATATCAGAAGGAAATATGTACCAGTCATAGTCTCCAAATGTGTCGGACTCATAACTTGAGTCCCGTAAAGTCGACAATTTGTAAATTGTCCACACATGGTGAAACGTAGCAGGTTCTTTGATCATTGATAAGCACTCCCCTTTTGAAATACTTTTGACAACAAAAACCTCGGCACCAAAGACACAAGTACTAGGATCACGATATTTTTTTACGTCAATGAATTTGGTGACACCCTAGATGATCTTCATCGCATGATAGTGCGTTAGTCTACCATCTACATTACAAACATTACTGTATATATAAGTATAAAAGCATAGCAAGTTAGGCAGTTGATTCAGTCATTGTTGCCATATGGTTTACCCCTTCGAATGCCGTGGTATCACCCATCAATGCATATGTAGCACTTATGAATTCCATCGTTGATTTGATAGTATATATGGAGGTATAAATTTTATTGTTTCGAGGATTTTACCATGGAGACTATCATACTTGCCTTGCAGCTGATTGAACATTACAAAATTGAAAATCACATTGATTTCCCATCCTGCGATTAAAGAACTTTTCTCCATCAATTCCAAGTAAATTGAGATATGATTTTCCCTATTTTTGCTAGGGTCCCCATTTGACTTTATGACCCTATTCTACTAGTGTGGTGAAACCATCCAATAAAACGGAAACAGTATATTAGTTTTCAAAACCATCAACACATCACCAAAGTCTTACAGTGAGATCGTCTCAAGTAAGTTTCTTAAATGATGTAGTTGTCAAAAACTGCATTTAAATTCTCTATTAAACTGAAGAAATTTAATAGCCTTAAATAACATCGCTCACGAGGAAAGCCCATATTAGTTTAATGTGCAAGGTTAGTAATTTCTAGGATTGGGTCTCGACCTTGTCAAGATAACTATCTCCTCCGACCCAAGCCCCAACCTCGAATTTTTTGTATCAAAAATTTCTTAGAAAATAACGTGTTATCTTAGGTGAAATTTTCATATCATGTGTCAAATTGCATTTTGTAACTTATAAAAATATGAGCTAATTTCTTAAAACCATTGTATGGTCATTGAGTAGAAAATAAAATTTCCAATTATACATACTGTTGTATTTGATCATTGGATAGGCGTATAAGTGATTTGATACATCTATTTAGAATAAGTACTTTCTCCTATTAACATAAACTTTATCCGTAATCTAAAAATCAATTTAGTACAACTTACTTGAATAGAGTTTATAATTTTCAATTTAAAAAATAGATTTTAAATATTATTTATTTAAAAATATTTTTTATATGTTAAAAATATTTTCAGATATTAAAGTTTTTAAATATATAATTAAGATTAAAAAATATATATTTTTAGATGATTAATCCTACTCAAAATTTAAAAAAAAAATATAAAAGGGAAAAGTAGGAGAGTAAAGTTGTCAATTCAGGAAAAAATGAATGCGCGGCGGTTTTCAGTTAAAATCTAAAGCAGAGAATGTGATTCTCCCATGGCCATATCTCGCCTTTCTCTTTCGCTGTAAAGCCAGTAAAACACGAAGATAGAGAAAACACAAGAAAATGAGTTTAGTCAAAGGAGTAATCTTCGATGAATCGGTGGTGCTACTCTCCGCTGCTCCAAATGCAAACGACTCAGCGTTTTAGCTGCGATCGGGAGCCTCCTCTTTGCTTCGTAAGCTCCGTCAATCGAAAATCCATACGGTACCGTTTCATCTCATATCATCTCTTTCGCTCTCTCTTTGTTTTGAATTTGTTGTTAGAAATAAGTTGAATTTTGACATTTACGTTTCGCATTGTTTTTCGCAGGGAGTTTCGTATGGTCTCGGCTTTCGTCTGATAAGGTAATTCTTTCTTTTATATTGTTGTGAACCTATCCAGATTCCTTACTCAACCACGCACAAAATACTAAACACTAGATATATTCAGACAATGCAATGTAAACATCCAGAATCACAAATATATATATATATATATATTGCATTGAGAAGTTCAAAATTACACTTATCTGATGGATTATATCCCAACACAGGATTAACAAGAATTGAATCAACAATATAATGGAAAACTAATACGCTGGACTTCGAGGGCCAGCTACCTCCCCTTCACTATATTCTCTCCAGATCCCTTTTTCATCATCTGCTGCTCCCTTTTATTCATTTCCTTTCCTAACAGAATTCAATCCTCCACCATTCATCTTTCGCCACCTGTCCACTCTACCTTTTTCTTCTCTTCACACTTTAGTTGCTTCCTTTATCACAATTGATCCTCTAGTGCTTCTTCCCGTGCCTCTTATTATATACCAGCACCTCACGTGTTGTATCCATACCCTCTCGAAGAAGAGCCACCTTGTCCTCAAGGTGGAATGAAGGGAATTGTAAATTCAGGTCGTTATACTCTTCCCAAGTATTCTCATGGTGAGGCAACCCCTTCCACTTTTACTAGAACTTCCCTTTGACCATTGAGTAACCTGCGGATCTTAAGCACCTTCTCTGGTTCAACTACTAAGACCAGGTCCTCATTCAATGAATTTGGAAGAGGCTGAATGTTTGGTGGTGGAAAATTGGCTTTCTTGAGTTGGGACACATGAAACACATTATGGATATGGGCAGTATCTGGTAGTTCTAACCTGTAAGCTGCTGGTCTAATTTTCTCAAGGACTCGGAAATGGCCATAAAACCTTGGACTTAGCTTTTCATTGCAATGGAAAGATAGGGATTTTAGACGGTAGGGCTGTAGCTTAAGATAGGCAGATTCTCCCACCTCAAACTGGACATCTCTCCTCTTCTCATTGGCATAACTTTTCATGCGGTTTTGAGCTTTATGCAAATTCTCCTTAAGTTCAAGTAAGATACCGTTACAGGTCTGAATTTGTGATTGACTTCATCCACCAGAGAACTGTGGTCTGTGTATTTCAGCAAGGCTGGAGGATCTCTTCCGTATAAGGCTTTGAAAGGACTCATACTCGTGGAGCTGTTGTATGTTGTATTGAACCAGAATTCAACCCATGGAATCTAGTGAGGCCACTGCCGAGGCTGATTCCTTACAAAACACTGGAGGTAAGTTTCCAAACACCTATTGACAACCTTCGTTTGTCTATCTGTCTGTGGATGGT